TTGAAGATGACTATGAATACAAGGTCACCTCCTCGTGCAGAATACTTAAGGTGAAGTACTCATAAGATGGTCAGTTGTAAATTTATGTAATTCTATTGTGTTTCTATTTCACTTCAGTGATGGCACAGAGTCTGCAAAGAGAAAACTAAAGAAAAGGTTTATCAGTAACTATTTCTAAAGTTAGGGTTTGCTGAGGATATGTTATTTGCTGAGGAAATAATTTAAATGTACTCTGAAGAATAAGTTATTTCACAGTCATGGAAATATAAAATAGACCAAAAGATAGGAACCTCATGGCAATAACTTTGGTGCTTTCACAGGCTTTTCTTGTGATAGCTGCTGAGTGCAATGCCTCTCTTGTTCTTTATAAATAAATAATTCAGGTCTACCATGTAATGGAAAGAGTAGGAAATGGAAACAGTTACAAAATTTTTATTGGAAAAGTAAGAACTGACTTTGTCCTTTAAGATAAAATGCGTATCCTTAAAGAAAATTTCCTAGAAGAGAAACCTGGGTATTTTTAGCCTATGGAAGAACGGTTCAGTGGGTAATTTCCTGATGAGTGTATTTCCTTGGGAACTCATAGGTGTTTGTTTAATGCCGCACATGTATTAAGCCCACTGAAATGTGTTGATAATGCACTTTTTAAATTTCCGAGTGTACATATATTTTACCTGGGTTCACACATTTTCACTAATTTAACATACTAAATGCTTCTCATTGTGACAGTTAATGACTTTGAACACCTGTTTTCCATTATAAGGTCTGAAGCTAAATTAGTGTATTGTCTTTTTTCAGTTCGGTGTATAAACATCAAAACCTATATTAAACCCAATAAAATTTGCTGTGGCATATTATTTTGGGATTGTTCTATGTTATAACTCCTAGATGGTAAGAATCACTAGAACTATGAGTGAGATCTCCATGAAGAATTTATAAGAATATTTTTCCTAAGAAGAGTTATGTCCTTGGAATATGCACTATCAGTGACATAATGGGTTTATGAGAATTCCATGAAATAATACATTCTTTTTAAGAAACAGAAGCTAGCAGTCTCAACAATGGTAGTCATTTCTGACAAAATAAGGGGCATAGAGATCAAAATTACCCAAGTGAGATAGATATATGTGATTGGAACTATACTGTCAGAGTAAGTGCTTGAGAGGTGAAATGAAGATAGTAAGTAGTTTGTCATCGTGTAGGTTGTCATTTTGCTGAAATAATGGAAGGTGATGTATTTAGCTGCTCCTCTCATCGCCCATAGAAGTAACTACATTTATTGGCACTGCATGAATACAGTTTTATACTCCATGCAGTTACATATTTTGTTGTAGTTCTTCAAATTACAAGATAAAAAAATTTTCTGAGGTTTGTTTTGGAGAGCAAGCTAGTAATCTATGCTTTTTAAAAAGTACCATAAATTATTTTCATGCTAAAGAACATGTGCAAAACTCTTCATCAATCTTTTGATGAAATTAATTGTTAATTTGAAAAGAATAATTGTTCATTAACTCTAATTTGACTAATTTGATATTTATGTATTTATTTTAACAACTAATGTCTTTGGTAAATTTATTTAATTTTATTTTTCTTCCTTTAGAAATAAAAACAGAATGGACACTAAAACATCATTTTTTAGATGAAAGGTATGTTTTTAATTAATACTTAACTGCTACTTAGCTTATTTTTCTGCTACAGAGCACACTTGTTTTGAAGCTACATATTGAGTGGCAGTGCTGGATGACTCTTCTTTCTTGACTGATTTTTTTTTTCTCTTCTTGAGTTATTATCAATTGTATAATTTTTAATCATTCAGGTTTTCTTTTAATTATTGATTTTGTAGTGAACACAGATATAACAGTGAGGGAGCAATTATTTTAAAGGGCAGACTCAGATTATGGTGGCATTCTTCAACTACAATGTTGAATTTTCCATTCTAAAGAGCAACAGTCATTGAAATGACAAAACAACAAATTCTACACCTGTGTATCTCAAAAAGTAGCTGGCAGGCCTCCACATTAGAATTACCTGTCAAACATTATTTATGCTAATAAATGTTGGGCACCATTCCTATCCTATTGGAGTTCAATCTGAGTTTCCATTTTTTAAGATGCTTTTGTCCTGGGAACTGACCTAGGATCTTACACATGATAAGTGTGCAGTCTACGACCAACAAGCACCCCCAACTTAAGTTTTAATTTTTAACAAGCATAAAATTTGAGACTATTTGTTTGGCTAGTATACTTTTCCATTCTGGTTGCTCTCTAGAATCACCTGTAATGTTCATTAATAAAACACTAACAAGCCTGATGTGGTGGCGCACACCTGTAATCCCAGCATTAGGGAGGCTGAGACAAAAGGATCACAGGGAGTCCTAGGCTAGTATGGGCTACATAATGAATTCAAGGCCAGCCTCAACTATATAGTGAGACTCTGTCGCCAAAAACAAAGAAAAAAAAAAGACAGGGAAAAGAGAACATTAACATTAGGGATAAATTCTAGAACAATTAGTTACATCTGACTCTCTGGAATTTGGGGGCCTTTTAAAATCTACTCAGGGGCTTCTAAGCACACCCAGGACTTCATACTATTATTGATAGAGAGATGCTATGAAAGAATTATTTCATACTTGGCAAAATTTTTAAGTTATATCAAACTTGTCAAAATCATTATTTCTAACGTCGTAAAATATACTAATCAATTTCCTACTTTATGCTGGAAAATTATGCTGAAAACAAGTTCTCTTTTCAGCCTGATTCCACCTAAGTAAGGATTTGCATTCAAAATGTAGGTTTTCTTTCAAGTGCATAATTCTTTACAGTTCTTTATTGCTAAGAATAATAGAATTAGAACATTTTATTATTTATTTTAAATGAGTTATTGATTTTTTTATAATCCTATAGCTCTCCTTATTGTTTATGTAGGGTTTTGACTTGTTCTTCTCCTCTGTTTTGTGAATGTTTTACCTTTTATAAGTGTTTGTTCATTTTTTTGCCAAAGTGTAAAAAAATTAACTGATTTAGCTGTTTTTGCATTCTTCTTTGTCATGACTCTTTTCTTAGATTGCAACTTGCCTATGCTTTAAAACGTGCAAATATATATCTTTCTACCATTAAACAAAAATTATAAACAGTGCCCATAATTTCTTGACTTTGGTGTTCTACCTATCATTTTTATATTTTCTAAAGTACTGGGGCTGGGGATTTAGGTCAGCAACACAGCACTTGCCTGGCAAGCACAAGGTCATGAATTCGATTCCCAGTCCTGGAAAAAAAACAAAACAAAAAACCCCACAAAAATAAAGTACTGAGAAGTTCTAAATCAGATGTAAAACACTTCAAGTAAAAATCTCCCTCTGTGTAGAATGAAAAGACAACTGACATCAAAATTTCTAATTTGGACTTTACTGGTCAAATTGTGACTTTTTTAATTCTCCAGAGCCTTATAATGCCCTCCTACACACAAATCAGGTTTCTGTTGCTTGTATTTCCTTATTTTGGACATGAAGCATTGATTGAGGAAAATACACACAAGACTAATCAAGGAATTAGCTTGAATAACTCTTACACATCTTGTATAACTGCTAAAATTCCCACAGCAATAAGTGATTGGATCATTATAATATTACTATTATCTGAATATTTGCCTCATAATGTTTCTATTTTATGATTAAATGTACATTTGATATTAATTAGGAATTTTCAAGAAATAGGTGTTTCATTCGTGTGTCTTTTAACTATCTGTCAATAATGAGTATAATTGAAAATTCCTGAGAATTTATTATGAGTATGTCTAAAGTGCACAAATTATCCTAAACATTCAACTGTAGAGCTTTTCCTGATATTCTAAACAGTTTGTCATATTCCATGATGCAGAGTTTAAAATATACTATAGAAATTACTCATTGAGTTATAATCTTTATTTAGCTTTCTTACCAGAGGTTCCTTTTGCCCATTAAAAAACCCTACTGAGGTAAAAAGGACTTTGTGAATTTTAAGTATGTTAATAACTTTGAAATCTCACCTAATATAACCTTATAGGGTTTTTTAAACTATTACTTTAAATTTTAATGATGATTTATGTCTGCTTTGTCTTTGATAAGTGTTCTTTAAAAGGCTGCCCTCTTAAGATATGAATTCTGCTTAAATAACCAATTCATTCTAAGAGGCTTATGGTTATTCCCTTGCTACGCTTGTGACGGAAAGGTTTACCACCATTTCCTCCCCCCAAATAAATAAACAAGAAGGTTATTTATCTTAAATTCAAAATGAGAACTAAGGCCGCAAACTCTTCCCTTTAGAAATGATTGAGTATTACAAGTACAGGCAAACAGAGTAGAAAAACACGATGATTAAATATCTTGGTCACTTTAAAATTACCTGAGGGGATTATATTTTAAGGTCATTATGTGAGTAATACCTTAAAAAGAAAAGAATAAAATGACTGGAGAATAAGAAATAATAAATGGAAACAGTAAAGGAGGATTCACCTGCTATCATTCTTTGCATTTCTCTCTCAAATAATTTTATGAAGAAGATATGTTAAATTTAACATTGAAAAGACTTTCCAGTCCTCAAAGCAGTGATCCAAACCTCTCCATAATTCAGCAGTAAGAAAGAGAGGTGTATAAATGGATGTTTTTTTAAAAAATCAATCTTTATTTATTTTCTTCTTTCTCTTTTCTTTCCTTTTCCCTTTTTCCTTTTCCCTTTTTCCTTTTCTCTTTTTCTTTCTTTCTTTCTTTGTTTCTTTCTTTCTGTTTCTTTTTCCTTTTCTTTCTCCTTTTCTTTCTTTCTTTGTTTCTTTCTTTCTTTCTTTCTTTCTTTCTTTCTTTCTTTCTTTCTTTCACAGCCAGCTAGACATTTATAGGCATTTATTAAGTCACTTTCTTCACAACCACAATAGGAATTAGACCTAGAATTATAAGCTTATATAGACAAACAGAGAGGGAAGGAAAAGTATAACAAGAGTTATCAAAGTAACAAACATACTTACATATGTTCCAACAACACAGTATTTAATTTATTTTCATCTATGATCAGGTAGAAATCAGAAGAAACATTTGTAGCTTAATAAATAATTTAATTTCTTGAATTTCTATGTAACATATAAATTTATTTTTACAGGATATATAGAGAGCATACTCATAGAGAGCAACAGACTTATGAAACAACTATAAAACACAAATTATAATTCGAGTTTAAAATTTCTCATTTTTACACTTGTATTTGTCTATTTTCCTATCGCTAGTCAAAGCAAAACCAAATATATAATTGTAAGTATTATAAGAAAAAAGGAGTACCTCCATCACCTACGCATGAGTTACATACATTCTAGATTGTACAAAATCAAAAGAAGATAAGCAGAACTAAAGGGAAACACTATGGAAAATGCACTTTTTTACTGAATGTTGAAGAGATCTGATAGTGTCTTGAGTTTAAAATATGACTTGAACACCAGCAGAGGAAAATGACTAAATCCACTTTCCTGTTTGGGTTCCTTCAAAATATGAAGATGTAAAAGATTTTGTATTTCAATAGCAGATTATATGAACATACCTCCACTACTTTGGTGGAAAAAATACACTACGGAGTCTAGTTAACAGGAGCATATACTTCAAGGAATACAGACAACTGCCCATGTATCCTAACATTACGGTGTCTTCTTCCCAGTTGAGAATTAAGCTAAAACACATCTGATCACCCCAAATTTAATTGCTCATTGACTAGGAAAGATAGATCCAAATTACTTTGCCACATATTCATGCACTATGTAATGTCATTTCACGTTAAATCTTTTTTTAATGACACAGCATGCCCTTTGAAACTTAATGTCATATGGAATATGAAGGTCGCAATTTACACAACATTGATTATTACATGTAGTAGTCTGAAGTTCATGTGCAGCGTTTCAGATTCTGCTCATTTAGTAGTGGAAGTAACATAATGTAATGATTTTAGGGTGATTGCTTCTGTGAGGAAGATAATATTTTTCAGAATTATGTACCATAGGTGATACATCAATAGAGGTAGTAAATGGTAGGGAAAAAGAGGATTTTACTTACTTCAGTGAAGAATTGAAAAACATGAGTTTGTCAGTGAACCCAGAGGCTATATGAAGGAATATTTACTTCTGAGGAGATGGAGAAGTGTTTTGTGTTCTCAGTCTGGAATCGAGAAATGACACTCTTGGAAGATTGGAGCTGACTTCCTCCTTTTTATTTTGGCAATTTTCTATGGATATTACTGAGCTTTGATGATAAGGCACATAGAATTTGGATTATGATTAACTCTCATCATCATCATCCTCTTTATTCAAATTTAGTTAAATTTCACAGCTCCTTATGACAGGATCTCAATTTCTGAACATAACATAAATTTTTACTTTGCTAGCAATCACAAGTAGTGGCTAAAAGTTTAAATAATCACAACCTCACTTTAGCTCATTCTCAGAATTCTCTACACTGTTCAAAAGCCTTATCCTATTTTAGGAAACTGCAGAAACTTAACTGCTGAAAGTCAAACATATAATGGATTCTAAGCCTTTGTGTAAGAAAAGCAGATCTTTTTTGGAAAATCACATTAAATGGTTGTTTCTTCTCTTGCTATACTGTGTTATTTCTTAGTTTTTTGTGGTAGGAAACATGATTAAACATAAATCCTAAAGAAGTTTAATGAAATAAAACATCATAGAAAAATTGCTTGATTTTGCTTTCCCTCTACATTTTGTTTGGAATGGGTTAAACATGAGTAAATTATTCCAATAATAACCAGCAATTCTCATTTATCAGAGCATAAATGATTTGTTCTCATATGAAGCTTTTCTTCAGTATACAATAGATCTCTGCAGAGTTAGGCCATTTGGAAGAGTAATTGCTTATAGGAAAAGAATAATAATCACCCCGCTGAACTTTCATGAATGAAAGCAAGATGTGAGACACAACAATACCTGTGAGATATATGGATTATGTGAACATCAGTTTATGATAATATCTTTTAAACTCAAGCATCAATAGCCTTTTGGATAATGAGTATCCTGTGGCTTATACCCAGGAAAACGGGATTTTACACATTATGATTTTTTTGGAATTTCAAATACTTATTTTCCTTAATTCTGTTTGTAGATTTGACTGTTAATTAATTACTTTGTTCTGAGCAATCAATGGGAAAGATTCATGACAAGGTGAGGAATAGCCTCTGCTTCCACTGACAATTTCCTTTTCAGGAGCCCAGTTGTATTAGCATTTCTTTGTCATAACTGTATGTACTGTCAGAAAATTTGTCCGTTAGAGTGAACATGGATCTGTAGGTAGCATTTCTAGCTTATTTAATAATACTTTACTTCTGTTAATTAACTATATAAAAATGGGGTTGATGACAAATCAAGTTCAGATCAGAGACAGGGATTTTCTTCTTCCATCTCTGTATATTTACTTCCCCTCTGACACATCACTAGGAAGAGGTCGACTCTATCCTTGAATTTTAATAACCTTTCTTCTGGGACTAATGATGTCAATGAAAGCTAATTTTAAATGAGAAAAAATAAGTATAAGTTTAAAAATACTCCATCAAAAAGGAGAATTAGTGTATCATTCCAGAATCAGAAAATACTTCACAAATATACGAATGAGTGTTTTCCTAGAAATGGTGATCTTAATTTACATACATGGTATCTGAACAGTTAAAGACTATTCTAGGATAAACAAAACTTACCTAGAGTTTAGGTGTTGGCTCTCAGTTAATATTTGCTCTTGTTATAAAATGCTTAATAATAATGAAACATTGAAGAAACCAGCATCTATATTTTTACTATTAAGTCAAGAGGGCCCAAATACATATACTATGAAGAAAATAATCACAAAATGACTGACTGTTTCAACAATCAGGTGCTTAGCTTAGAAATATAGAAGGTTCAGGTCTCTAGTTCATGTTTTGGATTTATTTCATGAGTTTAGAATTCATCTAAACTTAAGTCAGTTGGCTATACAAGATACAAATATCTTCTCTGCTCATAGAAGACCTAAGGGATTAAATTTTAATTCGTATTAAATAATCAAAATATTTGAGCACCAGAATAAAGTGTAGGACGCTCAGAAGCAGCAAGTTGAAATTATACTAAATAACTGAGTGGACTTTTGAATCCATAATGTATCATTCAGAGCCCAAGCGGCGATTGATGAAAAACAGGCAATACCAAACATCATACATGTCCAAGTCTGGAAGTCCATTCTCTCCCCCAGCTTGGCTAACATATTCACATTATCAACTGTGTTTTTACAAACTAGAATATTTTTATCCCCAGAACCCCACCAGGAAAAAAAAAGAGAAGGATGAAACCTAAACACTAGGGGAAATACATTTGTTCTCATTTTATTGTGAGTTCTAACAGAACTTTTGTTAAACATAGAGCACGTGAACACAGGACATTTTCCTTTGTTTGTTCTCATATGGAGCTGATAGAGGAATACTTGGGAGGAATGTTCCTAAAGCCATAGATAGCTTCTTTTGTATTTAATTCATTTTTAAAATATGACAAAACATTAGAGGAAAAAAAGTTTCTTAAATTGTGAGAATATCAAATATTACCCATCAATCCCTGAATCATGCTATTCAAAGTGCTTAAATCTACACTAAAAATAGAACAGAAAATGTACTCCCAATGCAGCTAAATTAACACCTATGGATGCCTAAAATATGACTGTGGTCTGATTACTTCCTCTACATTTATTCCACACTTCCATCGTGCACTTAAGAAATGAAAAATAAGAAAATAAAACCCAAAGAAATAGACCAGGCCATTGGTACATTTACACTTTTCTGAGTACTGGGGGAGTTTGGTATCCAGTCCAAAGAGGTTCACTGCCGCCAGTCCCTGACAGGTGTCCATAGTACAATGTAAACAATGGCCTTCTTGGATTTTAAAAATAACCCACTGTGCAAAGCTGACCTTAAAGTTTCGCACATCCTCGCAGCTTCACTTCTGGTTTGTGAAAATATGACACAGATCCAAGGGGAGCACAGGAATAAAGACAGATTGTAGAGAAAGACCCAGGCAAGTTGTCAGGGAAGTAAACATTTTTAAGCAAATAAAAATTAACGTACATCCTAAGGCTCCTTTACCTTGTCGCACAGATACTGAAAGCTTTTCATTGTAACAAAATGCTTGTACTCATCTCTCAGATAATGCAGTTCTGTCTTATCCCCTTAATTAACTCTTTTGCAGTTTATACCTTTTCTTTCTGTGGCCAACACACACCTTAGCACTGGACCAAAACTGTAGAATTATTTTCTCGTTATATGGTAGTAAGAATAAAGCAAACATTCAATAGTCACTACACGAACCCACAGGATAACTGTGATGAAAGTTCTTATGATGAATCATTAAAGTAACGAATAAGTTCTATTATCAGTGTTTTCGTCGTATTATTTTTTTAACTAAGAGCTACATAGGTAATATTTCCTTTAAACAACTCTGCCCTCCGCAGGTTCCTTTGTTATTGACTTTGTATCTCCCTTAACATGAATATGAATTAGCTGCTTATGTCATTGCTTTCAAACGTAAAGCTAAATGGTAAGTGATGGATTTCCTGGGAGCATCAGCTTTCTGTTTCTGAAACATAGAATCATATAGTTAAAAAATTAATTCTTTATACAGTAAAATTAACTATTTTAAATGCTTTCTGATCTAATTTAAAAACTATTTTGTGCAACTAATATTTACTTTGAAAATACTGATCTCTGTTTGTATTCATATGTTTGACCTCCTGAGTTCTTATTTAAACACTTTGATATTAGTAAGTGTTGCTTATGTGCACAGACTGAACAAAACACCTAATTCTGAATGTAGCCTTAAAAAGTAAATACAAGCGAGTTAACACTTAATACAAGGGGACTCCACAATAAGTTTCACAGATTTTCTCCGACTCTTTAGAAAATAACATTTCATATAATACAAGGTGACAAAATACATTTGATGACACATCCTATTCTTCCCTTTGCTTCGGAAGCCGTCCATGAAAATTTCATTTGACTTGCCTTGATTCACCCTTTTGAGTTAACTTGCCTGGCATTTGCACATAATCTCATTTGCAGAAAAATTATAGAGGGAAAAGAGGAAGTAGAATATTAAACAAAAACAGCCACAAACACATTCATGCCTTTCCAGGAAGTGATCAAATATAGGGCTTGATTTTTTTTTGTTTTTTTTTCTCTTTTTTTGTTTTTTTTTGTTTGTTTGTTTTGTTTTGTTGCTTTATATATATTTATATTTATATATATATATATATAAGGGTACATCAACTCATTTGAAAAACGGAAATAGCACTCTACCCAATTTTCATGACCTTGATCTTCTTTGCTTAGCACTCTTTAGTAGTTACTGTCAAGTGACTAACACACCTTTGGGTCTAGAGTGTATTCTGAAGAGCAGTGAATTAAACGTTAAGACAGTTAGACCCACCCCCACCCCTCTGCAGAGTTTACACATCATGCTGCCATTAGAAGGGTAGAGGTGGGGAATGAGGCGGGACAAGGAAGAGATTCAGAGCTCTGACTGGCGGGGCCCTCCTATAAACAAGTGTTCTTCTTTCTCTCTGTCTTTCGCTCTCGCTCTCTTTCTCTCTCATGCTCTTGTTTCTCAAATGGCAATGCTGGCGGTCGTTGCACTGCTTTCTGAAGGCCGACATGGCCCAGCAGATCATAGGCAGAGCCCGAGAGAGGATCCGGTGCTTCTTGTCCCATCGGATAGGTTTGTCCAAGCACCCCAAGGAAATGTTAAAAGCGAAATAACATTTTTAAAAAAAGGAAATAAAAACTCATTCCAAAACTAAACTAATGAAGCAAAAAAAGGGTTTTCTATCTACACATTAAGTCTCTTCTTTAAAAAAAAGTAAGTTTACAAATTCCAATGACATATAAAACAAAGTCAAAAAAATGTAATGGTAAGAGACATGGTAAAACAGGAAGACACTGATGCTACAAAGAAATTCCAAAAAACATATGTACAAGACCCTGTTTTTCCTCGTGTTCTAGAGATTGTAATGCATGTTTTTAACAGCAGCAGTCGAGGATTTAGTTCCAGGCACTGGACTGCAGATTTCACTTAAACTCCCTGGGGACGGGATGTCCCTTGCTTTTCTGTCACCATATCACACTGGATATACTGGTCTCCCTTGGCAACAGCGGCAGGATGGCACTGTTTGTGTGGGCCTCGTCCGGATTCTGCTCTCTGCTTGATTTTGTCTGTGGCCGCTGCCCGTTGATGAGTGTCATAGGGATGTTACAGTAGGTATGCTGATTTCCTATGGAGGTAAGAGGCAGGGTGCCGGTAGGAGGTACGTCGTACTCATAGCTTCGGTAGTAGTGTTTCTGACGCATTTGTGAATGGTACGTGTTGTGAAAGGTAGAGCGGAGATCTGGATGGGCAGTGGCTAGAGCTGTGGAGGTTGCCGCAGCCATGGAAATGGCTGAGACAGTCTGCAGCTCCCCAAAAGGCCCCTGCTCGCTGACATCTAAAGCCTGCTCATGTGTAATGGGTTCTATCCTCTTAAAAGGCATTTCATACTGTAAACGTTTCCAGAATTTAGAGTTCAACTTGTTGCATTTTGGCCCATGCCATTTAATAACCGTCAGGAGCTTGATGGTGTGCTTGAGGGCCTCGACCTCCTGGTAGTTCATAATGCCTCGGAGTTCACTGCATTCGATTAAGATCACTTTAATTTCTCCAGTAACAAGCATGTTTCGAAGTCTGGTTTCCAGTTCAAAGATACTCCAGCCTCTTCTGACCACATAATTTGGAGTCATGACAATAATCAGCCGCTTGCTTTGATCTACGCATCTTGCCACATCTTCAATATACGCTACAAAGAAAAGAGAATGTATCAGAATGAATGAAAGCCTCTAGATTCTCTCACACATTAAAGGACAAATGCCCTTTGTTAAGTAATATTTTGAGAAGATGAAAATAAGCAAAGATCACTTCTGATAGATTTTGGGCCTTGCTTTTTCTAATGTTAGAAATACTTTCTGGGCACAAATTTCTCATTTGATTTCTTTAAATGTTAACTTTCATGGAGATGCTTTATGGAGTAATGAATTATCTTCTCTGGGCTATTGAAAAATTTCTTACAAACACATCAAACCCTCTTGAGAAACCTAGGGACACAACTTTAGAAGTATAGAGCCAAAAATTAAAATTCTATGTAAAACATGAAGACAACACACACACCAAAATATGCAAATAAATATGCCAATTAAAACATTGGCTTACTTCCAGTTGGGATTAAATCTCTATCTGGTATAAACAATTTGTATCCGTAATGCTTTTCAAGCATATCAGGGAGAATTTCAAGGGCAAAACGTTCTTCTTCTCCAGTCTCTTGATTCCACTGGTCAGGATCCACTTTGGTGTAGGACAAGTAGGCATCGTAATCTTTATTGTCTGTTAAAAATATTACAGGATAAAGTTGACTTCATTACTTCATAAAGAAAACAATAAGATGGAAATATTCATGTTTTACATCATAATCATTTTCAAATGATTTTGAAATCTGATTTTACCCATTTTCAAATGGCCCATTCCTGGGAGGCAAAATAGAGGCCTTCGTTACTTTAAATCAAATGTTCAACAATGCCAAATATTCTGGAACTAGCTGGAAGGTATAAAGGGTCACATTTTCATTTTTGTTGCTGTGGAAATAGTAGGAAAGAAATCACTGATGAGAATGCTGAGGGCTTAGGGAGCAGTTTAGTAGTAGAGAATGTACTTAGCATGTTCAAGAACCAGTGCCATCCTTCGCAATTCAAAAACAAAACCAAAAAGTGGTGGAATGCTGACTTCTACCATTTTCATTCACACAGAATCTTTACCCTTAAAAAGGGTCACATGTTTAGACAGTAGTGTGCTCTTACTGGAGATGGGAAATTCAACCAGTCCTGCCTTTGGCCATTTGTTTCTGTTGTGGTTATTGTTTGCTGTTGTTAGTAGAAAAAAGAAAAAATTGCACTTGGCTTGATGGTGCAGAAAGGATATTTTCTGAGAGAGAGAGAGAGAGAGAGATCTCACTATACTGTTCAAGCTGAACTCAAATTCCTGAGCTCAAGGGATCCTCCTGTCTCAGCATCTCAAGTACTTGAGTATACAAGTTCATGCCACTACATCTAGTTCACTCATTTTATAATTATTAATAGGTAGTCATGTCACAAACTTTCATGTCCTTGAACACTAAGATTCTATCTTTACTTTTAACCAGGGTGGCCTGGAATGCCAGGGCTAAAGGGATCCTCCTGCCTCAGCACCCCCTGTAGCTAGAACTAGAGGCATGTTCTACTGAGCCTGGCTTGAGAAATATTTTTAGGTTGTGTACTATGCTGACTTTCTTTTGGGAAAAGAGTAAAACCCAACTTGGAATGATTAAATTTTCACTGAGACTTCTTGAATTTTAGGACTTGAGAAAATGTTTAAACCTGAATGCATGTACTAAAACATACTGTTTTACTGGTCTCCATGTATCTTACTCATAAAATAATGCCAAAGTATTTCTCATATGATGATCTATTTGGTGATAAGAATAAAAAAATATAATATAAATGGAAGAAACAGTGCTAATGTCTGATGTCTCTGTTTGCTCTTCACCTTGTTTACATGAGAACTCTTCACATATTTGAAAACTATTAGCATGTGCTGTCTTTATCACACCCTTTCTAGCATAGCATCCCAAATTTCTTTTTTTTTTTGGTTTTTCTCCGGTACCGGGAACTGAACTCACGACCTTGTGCTTGCCAGGCAGGCACTTTGCCGCTGAGCTAAATCCCCAGCCCTCCCAAATTTCTTACTGGTTGTTTCTCAGAATAAAAAATCACTTATCTTCTGGGCTCTAATTTGTTTGTCAATTTCATATTTAGAACATGATATCAGGATTTACAGTTCCACTATAAATACTGCCAACATGGTTAGTCTAATAGCATCAATTTTCATAACTCTTTCCTATTGTGATCATCACTGTAATACTGAATTATTAGATCAAGATGAATTGAAACACTCATGGATTTTAGAATAAAATGAAATCCGCATTGGGTATAAAAATCTGTGAATGTATAAAACGTCGAAGAGTTTATGTATTTGTTTTTGTTATTTTGCATTTTT